GATTTAAAGAGTCTGTGACAGCGTTGGCTTTATTGGCCTTCCCCTTTGCTTCTGGAATTTAACTACATACTAATTGAGGTCATCTCAATCAATTTATCACCTGGAGTTGAAGTGATATTAACTTGAAGTGAATGGTTTTTCATTTTCTTGCTGGTGAGAAAGTCAACTGCCTTGTCTTTAGGTGTCTACAGACAATACATTGTATAGTAGTATTGTATAATGCCATTTGCACATTAATTGGTGTTAAAAGTGAATAAGCTTAAATGCAAAATCTAATTTTACCGGTGATTGGAGGGTAGGAATGTAAAACGCACCCCAAACACCTTTTCAGCGGAAATGTCCAGAGCATGACTCATTTTGATTTCTCCATTGCTTTCTTTTTCCGCAGGTGCACCAAATCCTCCAAGCTATACATGTGCGTGTAGCATTACTAAGTGCCTTGAAGTTCTCTAATGCATACAAGTTGGCAGGTGTCAGTGACTCATTCATTTTGCACCAGATAGTACATTAATACTTTCATATATGTGTTGATAATAAAGAGGCCGCCCTTAGTCTGTGGAGGCAAAAATCACTTAAGAGATCACACACCGCTAGCAAAGACCCTTAAATTTCCAGCTATAGAGGCCTGTTTTCTCCATATGCCTTTCTTTTTCTTGAAAACCTTATTTTGAACTTTGTAATTAATGCAGGAATCTCAAGTCTACAAACTAAATACTGTGTTGTCCTGATTTTATGTCAACATGGTTTTCCTCCTGTAAAAAAAAAAATGATGCTTGACTTATATGTGCGATTGACTGTAATGGAGCCTCCAACAATCATGACTTTTGTACTTGGAATATTTTTGTGCATGCAAAAACAAATCTGTCAAGTTTTTATTTTAGTATTTTTAGTGCATTTATATCTTCAAATCCTTTCATTGGTTATTTGATTCTCCTGTGGAGTTTTGTAAGGGCAATAACAGTTCAAGGACTTAATTTTATCAGCTTATGTTCAGGGGAAAAAACAGCTTCCCCCCTTCCCCTCCCCTAAAATAGAATCTGAAAATATGTGGTTAATTTATATTAGGGTTGACTTTTTAATTGGAATGGTATGGCATTACTTTCTGCCTAAAAAAAGATATACAGTCAATTCTATGAGTTTCTCCAGATCTTCCTTAAGTATTCACACCTTACCTGTCTTGAAGTAATGTTGCTATGTAGTAAAGAAGTATTTGCAGTCCCTGACAAAGACTATTCCTAAGACTTCCCTAAGCAAAGATTGCGTGTTGTATCCAGTTGGTCCAAATGGTGTACTATTTTTTTTCATGTGCAGAGAAGTTAGTTTATCTCAGGATTAGGGTCCAGAAGATGCGACAGGGAGGAGGGAGAAGTGAAAGGTTTTGCTAATGCAATTTAACTTATTTTTAAGCACTTACAGAAATCTTAATACAATTACTCTTCAATTGGGCACTAATCTGAAGACCTTGTTCTGGACAAGTCCTGTTGATTTGAAATGGAGTCTTCATGAGTAAGTTAGGATCAGGGTGTAGACAGGTAACTCTTTCTCAAAAGCTTGCCAGATGTAATTGAAATGGCCTTCATTGTGTATGAGTTAATTCCACAGGGAGGCTGTTTACTTTATTTTCTACAAAAGGGTGCTTTAAGAAAAAAAAACCCTAAAATGTGACAGTATTTTCTACACTGCCAATATAAAGAACACAAATTATCATGTAGTCTATATAAAATTCTTAATCTTCTGCTGCATATAAAACTGTTCTATAGGTATACCATCATGTATTATGCAGTGGTCAGCTACTGCTTAAAGCAGTGAGCCATGTCATGGTTGCCTTATGTATTCAAGTTAACTTCATAGAGACTACAGGCATGATGATAAGTACCCTGAGCAGCACTGATCCTCACAAAGCCTTTTCTTACAAGTCATCCAAATGGAGTGCAAAGAAATTCACTGAAGTGAAGCTTTTGGGACTAGGTCCTTATTTTTAATAGTGAGGTGGGAGGGTTAATTTACTTTAAATTTGGAGATGGCTATACACAAGTAATTATTAATTCAGATCATAAAAATTAAAATACTTAGTCACTTGAAGAGGGCTGGGATTTTGTCCTTATATGTTCTGGCAAGCAGGGAGTGGGGGAAAGAGGGTGGGGCCTGGAGGACAAAGAGTGAAAAGGGAGTGAGGAAGGATAAAGAAAAAGTGGGGAGAAGGATTTGGTTGTTTGAAATGCCATTGTTTTTTAAATTTTGAAAATATAGGAAGCCTGCCTTGTTTGAGTAAAAATAAAAATATATACAGAAGCAGCCTTGCTCTTCTCCCCAGAAAAGTTTTATAGTGAAAGGAAAATGTAAAATTCAGTGTAGCAAGTCAACAAATTTTAAAAAAAGGAAGGTTACAAGTGAATGTTGCACTAAAAAGAGCTATAATGGGTGGGAGTGACAGTGAAGGTAGAAGACTGGCATTTTGCATACTTAAAATTTGACTATTGAAATAACTCCATCCTTGTCAGCCAGCCTAAAAATGCAGTTTGAAAGGTCAAGTAGCCTTCAAAGAAAAATACATAGTGAACACATTTTCTCAGGCTGCCTCTTTCTTTGCTCATCTAAAAGTGTGCATTTCAGGAGGTGCTGATAAAGCCTTGCATGGCCTGTGTGCCTGGGGAGTGCTTGAGGATGACTTTAAATTTTACAGCTACATTATCTGTACTGGCCATAGTTAAGATAAAAATCTAATGTGAAATCATTTTGGACTATAATGCTTTCCCTAAATGAAATGAAAGCGTTAACCTACTTGATTTGATACACTTTACCCTAGCTTATGCAACCAGGAAGAAGGTGGGGTATACTTTAATTAAAACTACAGCACAGATGCCTTCTAGCTTTCTGCCCTGTGCCTAGCTAGGATTGTATAGTTAAGCAAAGTAAAATGTGCTTTGCAGCTGAGGCAGCAGGCTGGAGCCGTGTTCAGTGAAAGTAATTTAATTAGTGTTGATCATGACTCCAGATGATGGTGATTTGATAAGGAATAATTTAGTACTTAACAGCCTTTTACATGCACCAACTCCATGTGGGGAGGTAAAGCAAATTGCACAAAATGAATGTGCTGCTTTCACTTGCGCCTGTGCCAGTGAGCTGGAAAACTGCCTGTTAGCAGACGTTCAGGCTCTCAGCACTATGATGAAATACCCAACCAGTTCTGCGTACAGGGCTGTGGTGTGGGAGTCTCTGTACTCCTGTTATTTAAAAATAAATAAGGGAAGTCATTTTTCATAACAGATGAACTCTGAGGAAGCAGCGAAGTTAAAAAAAAAATAGAGCAGTGTGTGGCCCTTGTGTGAGTATGAGAGGTTGGTTTTGATAAGAAACGTGTTGCATTATAGGTTTAGCTCAGTAGCTTGAAATCAAAGTCATTCATATACTTAAGGTAAGAGTCACAGTTCAGAAGATGCTGGGAAGTGGAATGAAGCCTCTGGATCCTGCACTTAAAACTATTCCTAATGGAGAGAAGTGGACATGGACATAAGCATGCAACAGTCTGCTCAACTGCATCTGAGTCCTGTTTTGTGTTCCTCAAAGGATTGGCCCAATAGAAAAAAAAGTTGTATTATAAAGAAATATTGAGTTTCTTTTCTATTTTTTATTAAAGGCTGATTTGCCCAAATGATGGGCTGTCTAACTTCTAAATCCCTGGGGGCCACACAAGGCAAGCTATGGTCCACTGGGCTGCATGGACACACTCTCCCATTTTCTAAATCTAGCGAATATGAAATTATTGCTTTTTAAGATATAGGGAAGGGTAGAGATACTGTAAAGCCTAATGATGCATAATGATCTGATTCTGCTGACTGAGATTCACTATCATCGACCTTAATGTGTGTTTGAATTCACTGAAGCTCCACAAAGGTTCGAGGGTCCATGCTTTTCCTAGGGCTGAAATTCCAGGTCACATCTAGATATTTTGGTGTTAATAAGGTGAATTAAGGTGATGCAAAACTTGAAGTTTATCAGAGATGAAAGAGGCACTATGTTTATAACTTTGGCATGAGCTTTAAAATTGTTAAAAAATAAAGTCTTGTACAGGGCATCTGGTCTACAGTTTTTGTCTTCCTATATTATATACCATCTTTTACCACCGTAGTTGCTTTTTCTGGATTAGGAACAGGTTTTGCAGCAACCTTGCACTTTTCCCTAATTTAGATACAGATTAACATCTTTTACCTCAGTTTTAGTAGACATTTGACCTTGCACTGAGAAATATAATGGGTTTAGCTAAACTATTTTGGCTAACCTTAACTTGTCCTCAACATTTTTTTTTCTTCCACAGACTGTGTTTCTCATTCATATTTCCTTTCTGGCTCATCCCTTCTCTTTCCCCAAATCCTGGCTCCGTTCATGTCAATAGCAAAATTCCCATCGACTTCAAGAGGGCTAATATATATTTCTGACATTACTTTATTACTATACCATCAGCTATTAAAGAAGCGTGTAATCCTCCAGTTTCATAAGTTTTATTACAGGTTTTCATATAAGTTTTGGGATTAAAAAGATTAGTGGCCCAGTATTTGAGGCTCATATAGGAGAAATTAATTTTGTACTCATAGCTGTGATACTCTTTGAAGTGAACTACTGTGCATTTACAGCTGAAAGCTGCCTTGCTAATATATTACTTAGAAGCAGTTTGTGCCTGTAAAGTATTTTGCTTCTGACAACATTTACAGTAGTTAAGCCAAATATAAGTGGGCTGTTATTTTCCTGCTAATGAGATGGGATCCTAGCCATCATTCTATTAAACAATAAAACTGCTAATAGCCAATGCAAAGGATCTCTGGTGCCTATTTCTCAGCTGACACCCAAAGAAATGTTTGAAATGTGTATTTCCTATACTGTATCTAGTATTCCAGTGGCTTAATTAATCCTGTGTTTAATTAGTAGCATCTAGCTTGCTTCATAAGGCATACTGTTTAATACTGTACTTGGTATTTAATTGCATTTTTTTCCCTTCTTTTCAGTGGCTTTTCATGGTCTCCCATTGAAAATCAAGAAGGAACCCCACAGTCCATGTTCGGAACTTGGCTCTGCTTGTAGTCAAGAACAGCCATTCAAGTTCAGTTATGGGGAAAAGTGCCTGTACAATGTCAGGTAAAATAGTCAGGAGTATGTTTATGGTGGTTTCAGTTAGGACTGCAGATTTAAGTGAGGACTGACTAAAGAGCAATAAAACCATAATAGAGATCTTACAAAAGTTACCTCTTCAGCAGATACCAGACTGATGAGATAATGCATTTACTTGAATGCTGATGAAACTGTTTACCCTGCTATCAAACACTTTACATAATTATTTTAAAGCAATAATTTTCATTACAATATTCAAACTCCACTCCTCCTCTGTTGGATAGAGCCAGAGTCTAAAAACAACAGGTGAGGGACCTTATTTGCCATGAGCTATGTTTGAAAGTACTTTAAAAATGCATTACACACATTAAGCTGAGAGACTGCTCTTTGTAACAGGCAAGAGATTGGCAGGTCTGAGAAACACATTATGCATTTGACAAGTTTTTGGTAGATGATATATGCATGTATTCATGGATGATTACAATGTAAAACTAGTGTTTTGTTAGACTTTGCAGATAATGCTGTCTTCACAGATGCAATTTGTCTCCCTCTGTTCATAAGTTTAGATAGTGAAAGTTTAAATTATTTTAAGATATAAAAAAAATAATTTACCGCTGCATTTTTTATTGATTTTTCTTTTGGTTCACATGTATATCTTTCTTTTCCCTTAAATGTCAGCCGTTGAAAGGCTTTCTCAGTGACAGTTTAGTCTTACCTTGTTTTTATTCACATAAGTACACTGCCATTAAAAGTAGAACACAAAGCATCTTTTGCCTCTTCATCTGATAAACAGGGTGCATCACTTGGTTATAGAGAAAAGTAGGCAGAAGGCACTAGTTTGCTTAGAAACTTCTGCTCTCTGGAGGGCCATCCGTCAAATCTGTAGCCTACAGAAACTCATGCCTCTTTTAATGAGTAGTCTATGAGGTGCCACCTTGCCCTGCCTGCCCTCTGACTTCAGACTAACTTGACTAAGTCCCTATCTCTGTGAGCTGGCTACCCCTCTCTATTCACAGAGAAAGGTAGTGAGTGAGCCATGTCAGTCTGAAGTCAGGCAGGAAGCAGGGCTGGGTGGCACCTCATAAACTAGCTTGCTAAAAGAGGCATGACATTTTTGTAAGGGACTTTTGTTGTCAGATGCTAGAGTCATCTTTGGAAAAGTTCAGCTTTATTTATCAAGATAATGTCAACCTGATAACCTAATGAATATTCTCCTAGATCCTTTTATTGTCTTGGCCACAACAAATGCTTACTCCTAAATGCTTAAGGTTAAGTATGCAAATAACGATATTGTCTTCAGTGGAAAGTCCCATTGCCTTGATTCAGAAAACCACTTAGGCATGTACTTAACAGTGAGCACCTGCTTTAGTCCTTTCTTAAATTGAGAGATTGACTTAGCTATGTGCCTGAGCATTTCCTTAATTGGGGCACACGTGAATAAAGTTAAGCATCTGTGTATCTGTTTACAGGGTTACAGACCTTTAGTTTTGTGAGAGGGGGAAAATATATCCTGTCAGCAGAAGCTTTTGCTATCTGAATATAGGTAGCTAAAGCAACATCGCACTGCTTTTTCTGGGTCACATTTCTGGTCTCCAGTAAGGTTCTTTTTCTCTCACTCCTGAGGTTTGTGCAGACTGACAAACTTGACAGATATTACCTACTCTTCCTGCTGTGGTCCAGGTGGCTCTGCTTTCATGTATTCTGAAACTTGCTCTACACTTGTGCCTTATTACAGCATCACTGTATGCCAAGTGCTTTCAAAAGTAATTCTCTGCTCCATAGAGGGAAATAACCTGATTGTAATGCATAGCTATTACCCAGGTTCTAACTAAATTTTCTCAGTGCTTTTCCATATCCACAGAAGAGAATTCTCCCAATTTGGATACTAAGGCAACATTATAATAAAAAAAAATCTGAATGGAATGGAATAGCTATTTCTCTGGGTGGAAGTGCTGCATTTAATTGAATTGAAGAGAAGGTAACTTTTGATTTCTCCTTCCTTTCCACCCCCCACTTCTATTTAGTGCCTATGATCAGAAGCCACAAGTGGGAATGAGGCCCTCCAACCCACCAACGCCATCCAGCACTCCTGTGTCACCACTGCACCATGCATCCCCAAACTCAGCTCAGACTCCTAAACCTGACCGGGTTTTCCCTACTCATCTTCCTCCCTCCCAGTCCATTCAAGACAACAGCTTTCCTATGGACCACAGGTAAAAACCAACAAACAAAACCCCTTTAAGTAACCAAAATTCAAGGAATTGCTGTCAATTGTAGGCTGTGTGAAGTTTAAACAGATTCTGGGATCCACCCTCATGTGAAGTAGAAGCTTTGTAGCTATTCTTATGGAAATCAGCGGGACCCAGATACTAGTCATTGTGAAAGGAGTGGTGGAAACATACCTCCTCATAGGTGTGCTAAACCCATACAAGAGACTGGCATTCTGTTTGGATGGAGTCTGTTGGGAGCACAGTTAGGAACAACCATGGGTAATGGCTACCTCTGCCATCTTTTTTTACTATGAGCACTCAACAAGCAATTCAGCTGAGTGTTTTCTAGAGGAGTAAGGCATCAGAATCTAGCCCTATGCTAATAAGCGAGCATTTTAGCTTGTCTAAATACAAATCTAAATAGCTGTTAGCTTGCTTCTGGAGTTTCTTCTACAGACTATAGACTCTGCTTCCATAGTTTTTTCCTAGAAGGGTGGGTATTTAAACTTTCTGAAATACAACAGTTTAATATAAGGAAATTTAAGATGCCAAAATAAACTACTTCCAAATAACATTAGACTGAGTAAAACCTGTGAAAGCTAAAAAAAAACACCCCCATAATCCAGAATTAAAGCTGAAACTGTCCTCAAGTCACCCTGTTGTGTTTTGGTATGTTTAGAGGTCTCCAAACAAATCATATTTTTTCTCTCATTCTCCTGAGACTATGTGCTGCAAAATGTAGGCATAAAATTGATTTCTCCTAGTTTTGAAAATGTTTGTAAATGTAAATATGAGTGACACACTGTAATAACCAAAAATGTGTTAGAACGAAGGTCCGACATTATGTGCCCAATTCACATAAGAAAGTGCAGTTTACGTGCTTCTGCAACAATAGAGACTTTTTATATCCAAGAATTCTCATTTGTCAGCAAAATTTTTTGCTTCTAGTAGTCAATTTAAAGTACCACCAAAGGCTTTGTAGGAATCCTGGCTGCTAGAAGATAGAGTAAAGAAGCCCTAAGAGAAGCTCATTCATCTGCCTTAACCATGGTCTCTCATATCCTTTTTTGGGCTGTAGAAGAACAATGCAGGCTCCCAACAGAGGCCAGGTTGTGGGTATGATTGCAACTTACTGGCCACATCTACATGAGGTACTGACTGCTCAGTTGTTACTGTGCAGTCATTTAGTACTTGCATACCCAAATACTAAATAAGTGCTCAGTAACTGCCATTACTGTACAGTAGCATCTCTGCACAGCTTCGTGGTGGCGCTGGCTGCGCAGTAGCTCGTTACTACTGCGTAAAATCATCACATCGCAGTTTGTGCCCCACAATGCTACTGTGCGGTAGTAACGATATACTATGGGGTAGTAACAAGCTACTGCACAGTAAATGTCTTGTGTAGATGTGGCCACTGTGGGACAAATGTATTTTTATAAACATACTGAATTCAAATAGCCCAATAGATTTGATTGAAACCTCCAAAAACTAAATTGCCACTGTTGGAAGAGCAAGCATGGGATATTTTAGAATAAAAGGTTTTTGTTTGTTAGCCACCAAAAAGAATGGTTATAGTTCAAGCTGCATTTCTGCATTATCTTGTGCTTTTTTAGAGGCTTGTATGTACTGTGAATCATGTTTTTCCAGTGAGCCACGTAAAATGCCCTCACAACTTTATCATAATGAGCTCTAAACATGATGTCTTTATTTTATTAAAGTATGACTGATTCAGTGTCCTAAAAATATTTTGTGTTAATAGGAATAGTGTATTCAGCTAATGAATAGTGTATTCAACAGCCTTTCAGCAAAGTCCAAAGTAACTAATTCAAAGAATAGAGCTTGTGGCTAGGTACAGACATTCAAAAGATCAAGGCAAAATTGATCTAAGTTATTCAGCTTTCTGTAAGTGGTGTAGTTTAGATTGGTAGTGAACAGAATACACATTCGCCTTTTGTTGGCAGGAAGAGGGGGAGAGTGCAAATCATAGACCGAGTTCTGCCATTTTAAAACAGCCTATATGTGCCAGACTTCTGTTATGGGTGTAGAGCAGTTTTGTGTGCCTAACTTCTCTTATGGGTATAGACCAGTTTCTGATCACTTATACTGGTAAAAGTGTAATGTCTGTACCTGGGCTGTGTTAAGTGACCAGTGCTCCCTATTTCCGCATATTATGTTTTGTTTCAGAATATGTTTTCCTTTTTATTTTTAATTCTAAATCTATTTTATGTTCTCCCTCAATTCCACTTATAAAGTGGTATACAGTGGTAAAGCATATATGCATTTATAAATGTTTTTTGAAAGGACCTCAGTTTCAGAATGAGCCACATACAAGCATTTGTTTCTAGCAGTGGAAAATTTGTACCACTAAAAATGATAACAGGAGAAGGAGCAGTATAGGCGTTCAGTCCACAGCCACCCTTCTTTGCCCAAGAGCCAAGTGGATTGAGCAGTGGGGCAAAGTCTTTTTTCCACTTGTTGCACCGGGGACTCCAGCATGTAAGGAGCTGGCAGGGAGCACCTGGCTTCCACTCCTGGTCTACTTGAGGAGTGGAAGCAGCTCCCGCCACTCCCCCAACATCATCTCCAAACCAAGGCGATCCTGGTTTCTGGAAGTCATGAGAGCCTTCCCCCCAACTCTATTACTCCTGGAAGGGAGTTAAGGTGTGGGAAAGTACAAACATTCTCCTAAAAGAAAATGTCCTGGGAGCAACTTCTTAGTTGGAGTTGCATTATTTTTCTCCTGGGACCACTATTTTTTCTTTGGGAGAAAAGTCTGTACACTTTTGATTTCTACCAGCAGTATGGCAGTTTTCCCACTAGAAACAGAATATCTGTATGTGGACCACGTTTTCAAAACATAGTTGTCTGGATTTATCTAGCATGTAATACTGTGTCTCTGATAATTTATAATATATAATATGGGAGCAAATTTTTCTGAACTGTTTGTTGTGTGGCTTAGGTTAACAACAGCCTCAAGAACATGCAGCGTCATACGAATCATGAGTACATGGGGGATAAATGGTCTTAACAAGTACCAATGGGAATCAAATCCACTTGTATAAACAAATGGCTTGATTCCATACAAAGCTTCCAGTACAACAAGTATTATTAACTTCCTTTGAGGCTTTGTGAGTGAGCCTGTTTCTTATTTTAACTTCAAGTTGCAATTTTCTGATTCACTCCTTGACAGTTCTTAATGATAATTTCTGCTTCTTTTTTTGGCTAATGAAAAAAGGAAAAGAGGGGAAATGAATGCAGTGCCAGTCAGCCTAACTATTTCATAATATGTTTGAATTTCTAAGTTTATTTTCTGCAGGTGTAGGTGGAATTGCAAAGCCTAATGTTATAGTGTGCCACTCTTTACATTGCAGCGTAGAATATTCTTAGAAGCGTTAAAGCAATTATCTTTCAGTTTCTATTACTACATACTAACAGAATGAGTACTAATAGTTTCAGTGTTAGTTTTATTTAACTTATGATAGTACATATTTAAGTGAAACCAAATTCATGAAAATATTCTGATGGAAGTTAATGGAGTTAACATTTTTAAATGCTTACCATGCAATATTTTATTCAAGAGCTTACTGACTAAAATCCCTGTTTTTCTCCCTCTCCTTCCACTCCCAGTTTTCTCAAAGAAAACATCTGATTATGGTTTAGGAACCAAGTCAGTTCACTCCCAAAATTAAAAAAAGTATCTGCAGAATCATTAAGTCTTGGCTTCATATTCATAGAGAAACTTCCATCTTACTTAAAGGAGCTGTGTTAAAGTAACATTTTTGTCTTGCTTGTAGGTGGGTCATGGTAGGACAAGTAAGCTATTTGTTTGAAGAATATCTTAGTTGCTGTGGATCTGTAAAGAAGCAATGGACATTTATACACATACTTTTTCTCCCTGTGACGTGCCAGAGATCTGCTGCTTCGGAGCAGACTCGATTAATCAACTAATCGAGTCTGCTCCACATGTGAGCTGGCGTACACTGCGCTGCTGTGCATGCAGTTGTATAAACAATGAAATGCATGTCAGCGTGCAGAAAATGTTGGTAGTGCGCTTTGGAACTAAAGCATCTCCAATGTGTTTTAGTTCAAAAGTGCACCGCTGTCATTTTCTCAGCACTGATACGCATTTCGCCACTTTATACAAGTGTAAGTGTTGCAGCGCCAGGCACTTTTGAAAGAACTCAGCACTGCAGTTCTTGCATGTGTAAAAATGCCCAATAGGTTCAATCTCCATTGCTCCTGTTCTAGTTCCTGCATATATAAGGATGGGAGGAGCAATGTGTGAAAACCTATGTGGGTCCCCAGGAAAGCAGAGGGAAACAGCAGTTCAGAGGAAGCGCAAAGCTGTGCTTTCTGCATAAATTGTTCTTGGTAGCTCCTGCTTTTGGAAGCAAAAGTCCCCTAAGAGTCATTTTGTCACTGGTACTCCCCAAGCCATGTGCACACAACTTTCTGCTCTAAGAGCAGTGGAAACTGTTGAGGGAAGTAGGTGCTGCATGGATTTCTGCTGAGTGCCATGCACCCACATTTGGAGAAGCCTACACTAGGACGTGGGTCCTTTCTACTACTCCCACTACTAACACACAGAAGCTGCTCTAATTCACTGTGGGGATTAGGACCCTGCATATGGGGAATACAAAAGAAATTTAAAACTGCATTTTCCTTCTATTCTCCCTACCTCAAATTTAGGAACACAGTTAGGTCACAGTTTGGTCATTTTCCTTCCCCCACTCCCCCCAAATTCTCTCCCCAAATTCTCTGTTACATTTATTAAGAATGAAGGAGAGAGGTTTATTGTCACCATCTTGTCTTATTTTATTTTTACCGTCTAGGTGCTCTGGTTATAGCAATGCCAGCAGTATACAATTAAGTGTCTTTTCTACCTTGTGTCCTAGATTTCGCCGCCAGCTCTCTGAACCTTGCAATTCTTTTCCACCTTTGCCTGCAATGCCAAGGGAAGGACGCCCAATATACCAACGCCAGATGTCTGAGCCAAACATCCCTTTCCCACCTCAAGGTTTTAAGCAGGAATACCATGATCCAGTTTATGAACACAATGCCATGGTTGGCAATGCGGCCAGTCAAAATTTTCCCCCACCTCTGATGATCAAGCAGGAACCTAGAGATTTTGCGTATGATTCAGGTAAGTAAGATGTTTCTTTAGCTCTGTTGGATAATGTGGTAAAACAGCCTGAGTTATTCTCACTGAAGTTTATATGAATCAAAACTCAGATCTCTTTTTTTGAGTTTAAGTTCAGCAAATAGCTATAACCTTGATAAGACAATGAAGTGTCCTGCACTATGATTGTCATCACATGTCTGCTCTAAAAAGGCTTTTATTTCTTGAGCTGTCAATCTAGCAGTTACACACCTAAATTGTGAAAGTCAGAAAGAGAAATGTATGGATGTAAACACAAGCATACTCTAGCTGAGGTGTTTGTTCTGCAGCATGACAGAAGAGGTGGCATTTTAACTTCTAAATCTGTACTTATGGCTTAAGAGCACATTCATCAGTATCTCTCAAAACAAAGTCCTGATTCTCTGCTTGCTCACGCTGCGTTATGTCAGGAGTAACTCCACTGATGTGGGCTTTACATTAGCATAAAAACAGTTTGAGGAGAATTGCCCAAATCATTGTCATCATCTTAGTGGGCATATTGGTTATAAATAATCTGTGGTGACAGTTTGCCAATGAAGAGGATAAGTTGTCAGTTACTATGAATGTGCCTAAGGGCCAACCAAGAACAGGGCCCTATTTTGCTCGATATTGTACAAACAGTAGCCGGTCCTTTCTGTCCTTGAAAATTTTTAAGAGCGGGTTAGATAAACATTAGTCTGGGATAGTTTAGGCAGGAGGATGATCCTGGCTTGAGTAGCCACGGGGACTCCTGGGGTCCCTTCTGTCCATGTTTTCCTATGATGTACAAAAAGCATCCAATCTAAATAGATGAGACAGATTCTGGGTTGTGAAAGGAGGTTTATAATATGTAAGCAGGATGAATGATGCATAGATCACGATAGTTTTTCCACAGTCTTTCTTTTGTTTTCTGTTTTTATTGGGTGATGTTTGCTATTACTTGGAAGGGTATTAGGTAAAGTGAAAGGCTGAGGAAGGGAGAAGGGGACCAAGCAAGTGAGAAGAAAGGTAACAAGGACAGTTGTGCCATGAGGCTGAGGTGAGGGCTCTGTTTGAGGAAGTTGGAGCAAACAGACATCAACCTAGGGCAGCAGAGTAGTCAAACCAACAAAATATTGGTAACTACCCTGGTTGAAGCTGCTTCTTTAGCTCCTTTGCTAGATTTGTTTTTTTCCTGCTTTTTATCTTTTGGTCTCAAAGGCCATAATGCTGTGGAATGAAAAGGCCACTGCAAGGGGCCCTAGTGAACCTCCAGAGTGGGTGCTTCTTCATGTACAGCTCTGGGCTGGGAGAGTATTGTGATGGGGAAGGGGGAGAATGGTGCTGGCTACGGCCCTTTTTAAAAAAAAAATTGACTCTCTTCCTTTCATGCAGCAGAACCTGCTTAAATGAGTTCTGCTGCTGCTCCTGCCAGCTTCAATCTGGCTGGCTTCTCCTGTAGCCTCTTTGCCAAATACCACTTGCTGGCTGACTTGTGGCTCCATTGAAAATTCAGCTCATAATAAACTATTTCACTATTTCTGGTGCAACTGAGAACTTGTTTTTAATATATTCTCTATGGAGCCACTCAGCCGATTGACCTTTGAGTGATTTTTTTTTTTTTTTTTTTCCATAGCCTGATCATTATAAAGTGCTGGTTTTTAATAGTCCATAGTAGAACAGAAGAATTTAAAATGTAGGGCTGTCTTTTTTTGTGTGTGTCATAGCATAGGATCAAGTGGAAAGAAGGAATATTCCTCTGATCTTTTTATGGTATTTGTGGGGGCAGGTAAGGAGAGATTTCTCCTGAATTTGAGAGATTATATGAACTAGAAATGAGCTCAAACTACAAAGATCAACTCCTAGACCTGGACCTTTTCATAGGTGAGGTGCTGATACCCTTGGGTTTGGTGCAGATGTCTCTCAAGTTGTAACACAGCAGTATGAGGGAGATGATCTGCACAGTTAACATGGGCTTGGATAAAAAACAGGGGACTTCAGTTTCAGGCACTGCCAGTCCCTTGCAACCTTTCACAAGTGCCATTATTCATCCTACTAAGCTAAAGGGTAAAAAAAGGCTCTTTTGTAAGCAAGCTTCATATCTGGCAAGGGAATGGGATTGCCTTATTGCATACTGTTACTTTAAACTCTAGTTTCTGTTAGTTCTCATTTCTGTTCAGAATTTTCTTTATAGCTCAAAACAGATTTTATTCTTAAAGGAAAGATGTTTAGACTTTTACTCCTCCATTCTTTTTTTGATACCAGTGAGAGAAACATTCTGCTTTAGAGTAATGACATTCAAGCAAAGTCATTGTTTCTTTTGTAGGTGAATAATTAGTTTTTAAAAATGTAATAGCTGTGTAACCAGCGGTCATGAAAAATTAATCTGTTGGTATCAGAAAGTATTTTTATTGGCCTCAGACTCACTGCATTTAAGTTGACACATCTGTACACTCCATAAATTGCAGTCAACAACTGTGGTCTGTTGATATTTTGTCTTGTTGCCATCTGTTCTCCAGAAACCATCATTTTTCCATCCTTGCTAAGAGTACATTAAATAACCCCTTAGGAAACATAATGTATTTGTCACTGAATCATTGATTTCATTTTTTTACCTATGAATGTTGAGGGAAGGGAGAGTGCCATAGTGAAAAGTCTTTTGCATGCTATTTCATTGCAGCTCAAATAAGAATACAGAAACATATTTAAAAAGTTCATTGCAATATGCTGAGATGTTCCTTTTGGGATGTTTATAAAAGAGCCTCATAAAAGTTCATTGCTTTTGTGCACTATACTTTTATACTTTGTGGAAATCTGGTGAATGAAGAGCATTATTATGGGATGATTATAACTCTATTAAAACATGACATTAATTATGACATGGGAAATGGCAGATCAATTAGTTGTAATTGTAATTGCAGGTATGCAATTTCTATTGCAGAATGTTTGAGATAATGGAAAAAGAAAAAAAGAAAAATGTCAACAGAACAGAAGCTTTTTCTCCCCCTCCTGCATAGAAATCACAGTTCATCATGTATGTTGAATTAGACTTAATGTTCTACTGGAAGTCTTTTCTTGGTTGTCAGTCACACTGACACTGTTTAGACCCAAAGTAGTATGCCCTTCCTGGATGTATTATTATAACTCCATTGGAGCTGTAACAGTCTACATCAGCTGAGGATCTGTCCCACAGTGTTTTGCAGTGCTGCATGCAAAAAAAAAAAAAAAAAAAAAAAAAAAAAAAA